AGGATTTAAGAGATAAAACTGCAGAATATGGTACTGCTTTAGGTATGAATTATAATGAAGAGCCTAAGATGACAGGAGATATCTGAGTTGGGTAATTATTTAGAGGATGACAAAATTAAATAAGACTGAGCACAAAGAAGACGACAGTAAAATGTGAGAAAATCCATTAGAATATGCTTTATTAATGGTGCCTATGAGACAGCCAGGCAGAAATTTGTGAAAGGTCAGGGCTAGGGCTAGTGGTACAAAAATCATCAGCACAGAGTGCGTGTTCAGGTGTGGTGGCAGACACCTGTAATTCCAGCGACTGTGGAGGCTGAGGTAGGAGGATCACAAATTTGAGACCAGCCTAAGCAACTTAGAGGAACTAGGGATGTAGCTCAGATGTAGCCCCTGGGTTCCATCCCTAGTACCACACAAACCCAAAACAAACCACACAGAACACACACACACACACAAAACCTAAGCACATGTATTTCTAACCCAGATGAGAAACTCAAAAGTTCTCCACTCAACTCACCCACATCAGAAGTGCCCTGGGTGGAAAGCACCAGCCCCTCCTTTGGAAGACTGAATCTTTGTTCTTGCCTCTACCACCAAACTACCTCCACAGACCTTTTAAAAATTTGAGACAGGGTCTCACTAACTGCCCAGGCTGGCCCTGACCTTGTCATCCTCCTGCCTTAGTCTCCAGAGTCACTGAGATTACAGTCATATGCCACCATGCCTGGTGTTTCTCTTTATTATCTTCAAGAGTCTTCCTAGAAAATGTCCTCAACTGGTCATGAACTGATCAATATAAAGATTTGAGGTTTTCAACTGATGGCTTACTAGCCACACTGGACTCTTCACTACTTTTTTCATCAGTGAAGAGGACACATTAGTGAGGAGTTTCCTCCTAGCAACTCTCCAAATCAAGGAGCGTTGTCACTGAGAAACTTAGGCCCTAAAGGCCTGCCTTTAGCAGAGGCAAATTAGAATAAGTCCCAGGGAAGTATACACCCATCCATAGAAAGACACCTTTTGTAACCTAGCAACTTTAATCAAATACCAAACAGGAAACATTTCTTGCCTCTGCCAACTCAAATTCAACAAAAGAGAACCCCTGATGCTTCACTATAAAAGTAGAAACGAATTGTTAATATGTGGACAACAGGAAATGTGCCACATCCAGATGCCATTTAGAAAGCAAAAGTTTGATTTTTTTAGATTGATCATGGTTTATCCAACAATGATTCCAGGAATATTAAAGTCATTTTGTTTGTTTTTACACAATCAGCTAGAGGTGTATATCAGTGGTAGAGCATTAGCCTAGCATGCACAGGCCCTGGGTTTGATCCCTAAGTACTAAAATATATGAACATAGCTAATTTTTGTTTTGTTTTTTAGTAATGAGGATGGAACACAGGGCCTTGCATGCACTCTTCCACTGAGCTACATCCCTCAGCTAAACTGTTTAAACATTGCAGTATCCAATTCTATCACTACAGAATTTAAGCCTTCAGTTGCTTTCCAAGCATTTTGATAACCATTGTTTACAAAGCTTATAGACCTAGTGACTGAGGAGACGGGGCAAGAGGATTCTATGTTGGAGGTCAGTCTCAGCAACTTAGTGAGACCCTGTCCTAAAATTGAAAAAACAACAACAAAAAAAAGTACAGAAAAGTAGGTAAAATAGTTTATCATCATTCCAACAATCATTCATTCCAACTAGGCACTGTGTACAGAACATTGACCTTACTACTGAGTTAGGTGACTATTAAAGGAGGAATAGCCTTTGTCCTCAGGAAAAATGTATTTTACTGGGGTAGACCAGGGGCATTTAGAATTACTACCTTAAAAAACTCAGCTGGGCATGGTGGTGCTCACCTATACAACCAACTACTTGGGAGTCTGAGGCAAGAGAATCACAAGTTTGAGACCAGTCTGGATAACTCTGAGATCCTGTCTCAAAATAAAAGGCTGGGGGTGTAGCTCAGTAGCATAGCACCTGCCTAGTATGTGCAAGGCCCTGGGTTTAATCCCCAGTAATGTAAAAATAAAACTCAAGTGTAGGAGGACCCCCCCCCCAAAAAAAATCATCTTCCCTTTTTACTTAAAATTTGAAGAACTGAGAGCAGGGATGTAGCTCAGTGGATAAATACTTAGATAGTATGCCGGAGGTCCCTTGGAGAGGGGTGGATTTAAAGAACTGAAAGCTTAGAGAAGTATGTGTCGGGGGTGGGGCACTGCTATGTTGCCCAGGCTGATCTTGAACTCCTGGGTTTAAGGGATCCCGCCTCAGCCTCCTGAGTAGAAGGAATTTTACGTGTGCACCACTGGGCTCAGTTTGGGCTTACCATAAAGCAAATTAATGACAAAACTGGGACTAAAACTCAGAAATTGACAAAAGATCAAGTAGCATGCACTATAATTGTGATAACAACTGAAGAAAAGCATACCCATGTAAGCAGAGGCCAAGCCTCCACTGTCAAGGCTGAGCTTCCCTGCTACACTGCACAGTTGCCAAAAGGAGTGGTTCTGGTGCCCAGGTAGACTACAGCTACCCACCAGGTGGTGTAAATCAACACCCAAACCTTTTAAGATTTTTCTAATATCCTTCTCTTGATTCCCCTCCACTCCCACTGTATGATACTGGAGACTGAAGCAAGGGCCTCACATATGCTAAGCAAGCACTAGCCACTGAACTATATCCCCAGCCAGGGTCTGACTAAATTGCCCAGGCTGACCTCCAGCTTGGGATCTTACTGCCTCCACCTCCCAAGTAACTGGGATTATAGATGTATACTACTGCTCATTTGGCTCCTCTTACCTTTTCTAGCTTGAGTATTCCTCATCCAAAATCCTTGGGACCAGAAGTCCAATCTTTGGGATTTTGGAATATTTGCATTACCACTTAAGCTTGACTAATCTGAAAATTCACAATGTGAAATGCTCCAAAATCCAAAATAAATGTGAGAGTCATGTTGGCAGATCTTGGAGAATTTTTACTTTGGATTAGGACTGCTCAATCTGTGTATGTTGTTTTATACTGGGGATTGAACCAAGAGTTTTCCACTGAGCTACATCTTTTAAGACCTTTTATTTTATAAGAGACAGGGCCTCAATTGCTGAGGCTGGCCTCTGGAATAACGGATTACAGGCATGTGCCACAATACCCAGCTCTATTTGCTTTTTTATATTTATTTTTTTTTTAGCTTTCGGTGGACACATCTTTATTTATTTATTAAAGAGAGTGAGAGAGGGGCAATTTTTATTTTCTAGTTCTCGGCAGACAACATCTTTGTTGGTATGTGGTGCTGAGGATCGAACCCAGGCCGCACGCATGCCAGGCAAGCGCACTACCGCTTGAGCCACA